GGTCTTAATAATGAGACTCGGACGACAGAAAACCGCGCTTTAACACTGCGGCAAATGAGACGTCAGGACTTGATGACAGAGGGTGAGAGAAACGGAAAAATGGGGGGAGGAGGGGAGGGGAAAAGTAGGAGAGAAGAGGGGAAAGGAGGGAAGAGATATAGTGAGGTTCTTGCCACAGACAAAGACGGAGCTTGACTGTGGCGTGTGGCGACCGTGAAGCTTAGCCAACACAGCCGCCTTTGCGCCGCAGTCCGTGCGGCAGTTGCGTGGCGATGTGACCTTACTTCCTATTAGGCATATGACGTTGGATCAACGTTGAAATAAACGTCGTTTGGTTTAATCAACGTTAATTAAACGTCATTCACCTGATGGGTTAGTGTTTAGTGGTGCTACACGTTGGTGTGACATGAAATGATCAATATGATAATATTGAAACTAGAATCTAATCATATTAACATATAATTAGAATTATGATTTAAACAAAAAGAATTGTACAGGTAAGAGATACAAAAAGACTGATTTTGCATCAGAATTAGAAATAATTAGCAAGTATAAGTGTAACAACATTTAACGCAGCGCTCTGGAAAATGGATCAAGAGCACGCGCATGAGTTTCTTGCATAGCATGCATGACAGTACCGACGCCTTCAATTTATGGGTAAGAATTGCCAATATTATTTTTAATTCAACCTTTTTGCCTGAAACGGAAACTCTCGTTGCTAGTGCAGAACACGGCAGCAATTCGTAAGTTGCCAGTGCAGAACACGGCAGCAATTCGTAAGTTGCCAGTGCAGAACACGGCAACAATTCATAAGTTGCCAGTGCAGAACACGGCAGCAATTCATAAGCAGCCAGTGCAGAACACGGCAGCAATTCGTTAGTTGCAGTGCATGCAGAACACGGCGAAATGATTCATCAGTTGCCAGAGCAGAACACATCAAGTAATTTATCAGTCTCCAGGTAAGTAGAAACATTTATCAGTCCAGACTGCGTTAATAAATTCCCAGTGTAGAACACGGCAGCAGTTTATCAGTGCCCGGAACGAATATGGCGGTCGGTAAATTTGACGGAGACCGTAGATTTCATTAGCGAATTAGGGTCTAAAATAAAGGGCTTGGTTATCGGCTCAGGAGCGATTCAAAGACAATGTACGTTGGTTTATCACGAGTTCATTACGATGATTCATACACGCAAACGGAATAGAACAAATATTTGCGACACTGAAAAGTGAAAACGATGACTGAATAATACTCATAAGATTAACGAAATTTCATCTATAAGGCGCCTAAAAAAATTTACAATATTTAGTAAAAAAGTATTGGACGATCTTGACAGAAAAGTTTTTAAAAACGCTAACTTTCATCCGCTAATATGGAGACGCCAATATGGTAGCAGATATTGAAAATTTAATTAATGAGCAGACGGCCAACATTAACCGCATGGAATTTAATTAATGAAGCAAGTTCATGCATATCAATTGAATGAAATAAGTTTGAAGGGAATTTTAAAGAAGTGGGCATCAAACAAGTTGAATGCATGTCAAAAACACGTGCTACGTGAACTCATGATATCGTTTTTTCATATCTGCAAGGCATGAATGACGAATCTTGCAAGACATGAATGATGAATCCCGCATGAATGACGAATTGTGCAAGACATGAATGATGAATCCCACGTGAATGACGAATCGTGTGAGACACGAATATTGAATCCCGCATGAATGACGAAACGCGTAAGACACGAATGATGAAAAGGAATGAATAATAAATCGTGCAAAACACGAATGATGAATACCGTGCAGCTAAGAGTAATATTTTACGTTGCTTTGATAACTTACGTGCTATTAATTCAGTACGCGCAGACATTAAAGCGTCTTCAATAAAATGATGGAATTTGTGATGAGTATTACAGCGTGTGTGAATAATTTGAAACCTGCCTGCTTCAGACTGCAAGCAATTGATTGACCTGGGCTCAATTAAAATAACTTGTGCTGCTGCGCGAATATTTAAAACTAAATCGAGATTGCGTACGTTCTGCATGCTAATTACTTGCCTTTGAGAAATAGTTTTGTGTTGCACTAGTTGCAGGGAGAAGTTTTACAATATGTATCGATAGAATTGGCGGTTCTAACCCCTTGAAAGAACGGTGCTGCAAGAGACATGCAGATATAATGTAATGATGTAAACATAAGGTAATGATAGTTGAGATACTTATAAGTTACCCGATGATGATGATTATTATTATTAGTAGCACGATTATATTATTAACATATATGGAATGTATGATTCAATAACGTTTAGCTTCAACTTTTAACTATTTATGGGGTATAAATGCGCATAACTAATAGCGGAGACAAGCAGATGTCACGGCATGAGGTGAAGCAAGTTTTATACTTCCTCTTTAATTACACGCAAGATAAGGATACGTGAACTGAACTGATGCAAAACATGCAGACACGCAAGTGACGACGACAGCAGAGAGTATATAACTGCGGAAAAGATAACTGCAGAGACAGAAACTGCAGAGACGGAAACTGCAGAGACGGAAACTGCAGAGACGGAAACTGCAGAGACGGAAACTGCAGAGACGGAAACTGCAGAGACGGAAACTGCAGAGACGGATACTGCAGATACGATAACTGCAGAGACGATAACTGCAGAGACGATAACTGCAGAGACAATAACTGCAGAGACGATAACTGCAGAGACGGAAACTGCAGAGACGATAACTGCAGAGACGATAACTGCAGAGAGGATAACTGCAGAAACGATAACTGTAGAGAAGATAACTGCAGAGAAGATAACTGCAGAGACGGAAACTGCAGAGACGATAACTGCAGAGAGGATAACTGCAGAAACGATAACTGTAGAGAAGATNCACGGCATGCCAAGGCATTATCACGGCATGCCAAGGCATTATCACGGCATGCCAAGGCATTATCACGGCATGCCAAGGCATTATCACGGCATGCCAAGGCATTACCATGGCATGCATGCCAAGGCATTACCACGGAATGACAAGGCATTACCACGGCATGCCAAGGCATTACCACGGCATGCCAAGGCATTACCATGGCATGCATGCCAAGGCATTACCACGGAATGACAAGGCATTACCACGGCATGCCAAGGCATTACCACGGCATGACAAGGCATTACCTCCGGCGTACCTCATAGTTGACATAATGCAGCACCATGATTTGCTGGGATATGCACTGCAAAGCCACCCTAGGCGAACTAGGTCAGGCGAAAATTCTGCTGGAAGATTATGTGACTTTCAACAGAATTTCAGGCATCGCCTAGGCTTCGGCCGAATAGTCACTACGCTCAGCGCAAAGTTATTCTGGGTCTGCTAAGCCACCCGATCGAAATCAGTTTCTGATCAGAATCTGCTATCCGACTTTATAGTCGCCTAAGAGCTAGTATGACAAGGGTAGAAATTAAGAGCCAAGTCATACCGAGCTAGCAAGCTGCCCTTCGAACCCTGAGCAGAAGCGGTCATAGAGAAGCCGATTTACGTGCTCCCCGAGTCCTAGGCGGCCTTAATGTAAGGTCGAGCGCGCCTCTAAAATTTGTCAGGGCGGTGACACCGGTGCTTGCTGCCAGTCAGGTCATGTCAAAATAGCCAAGCATGACATTCTGGGTATATTTTTCACATGACCTGTGGTGACGCCGGCGCTTGCGGCCAGTCAGGTCATGTCAAAATAGCCCTGCACGATATTCTGGGGTCGCTGCCACGAGAGTCCATGCAAAATAAAGCAAAACGATGAGCGTCTCACACCAGTGAGACGCTTTGCCAATAGTTTAATATGGCATTGAAAGAAGATTTACCGACAACATTGATCAAATAGTGATCGATAAATTGGGCACATACTGTCAATGACTTATTTATTGATTGACTGACTGACTGTTAATCCAATGATTGACTGATTGGCCGACATTTAATCAATTGTTGACTGGCTGCATGATAGACCGATTGTCAATCAATGATTGATAAGGAGCGAGATTGGCAGACTGATTGACGGTCAATCTATCAATTTTTAACTGGCTGTCACTGAATTAGTGATTCAGCTTTAATCCGGCACTGAAATGGCTTTGCAAGACGAGTCAGGTTCGACGATAGTTATTTGCCGTAAATATAACGGGAGCTCCATAGACTAAGAAATTAAAATTCTTCGATAAAAAATTAATCAATTATCCATTCATGACAAAGCTATACAAAAAATAATATGCAATATTGACAAATTTACTCGTTTTTATATACCTCTTCAAGAGAATGTACGGCTTAGTAGATATGGATCTAGTCCACGGAGTTCAATTCTCACATTTCACTTAAACGATGTTACCAATGTTGCCAGAATTGCTAATGATTTTACAGTAACTTTATATTTACTTGGCAACTGCATTTGGATGTTCTCACCAAAATATATAACGTTAATAAAACGAAGAAGCCGCTTGCATATTGAACGATGACACTAGTTACGTATTTTTATCAGTAAATCAAATAGGAAATAACGTAATTAATCGTGATGACGATTAATATTCTCGAATAGAGGTTAATGCATAGATATTTAAAAATATCGGTTAAAAATTATGACAGATTATACAATTATAAATGAAACGGCTGATCCCACGGTGATTGCCGCACAGAGTCTAAATTTCTTACTTTTACAGTTAAAATATACGTCAATATTAGCCCAACAAAAAAAAGTTGCTGTGTAAAATTGAGGCCCTGAGCGTATATGAAAATAATCTGTTTGCTCACAAAGCAAATAAACATGTGCAATATTCATTTATGCAGACAATGATTCATTACAATTATTAGGTACTGAACCGTTTCCACCCATTATATTAGTGATAATTTGATATTCTCGGTGAACGGAAACCAATTCTACACTAACATTAACTGCTCTTCAAAAAGTTCTCGACTGCGATAGCAGCATCGGGGGAGAAGATCTTATGAATTATGTCTACTAATAAACTTGTTTTTATTTCAGAGACTTTCTCCAGGTACTTCTTCCTTAGGCCCTACGTAGTTACACCATCTCCACTACCGCGCACTCTGTAGTCCCAAATATTGGTTGGTAACCATACCAGTAGTTACACCAGCTGGGCTTTCACCCAATAGTTATACCAATTTCCAGTAGGAAATTTCCACCAATTTGGACCTAGAAAGCGTGCGTATAGACCCACAAGTAAAAATTTCAAACTTGCCCATACCGTGAGAATCTAGAGTTCCCTTTTTCTTGCGACCTGTTAGCCGAGAATCAATAGATAAACGAGGTTATGTTTTAAGGACCAAATTAAATTGAAAATCCGAGTTCAATCTTTAGATTTCACCGCTAGGTTTGGAAACGATCATTTTTGTTTGCATTGCGATCAGGATTGCAGACATCAAGTCTTCAAAACTTGGACTTGAAACTCGTGTTCCGGAAGCCAGGTTGGCTTATGATCTGCGGTCGAAGACAAGATAGTAATGATTAGCCTTTATTTATAGCGTCTGAAATTATGGTGGAGTCACACCAGTAGCTCATAGACGCGACGAAATCGATGCTCAACGTAAGCCTTCGAGTGACATGAAGAGCGCTTCCCAGTATAGCGTCCTGGTAAAACTTCGAATGTGTTAAGAAGAATAGCCGCTTTATTTCTCTCACTTGTAAAACATCGAAGAAACTCTCAATCTACACCATTCAAATCATATCATCGCATTAATAGTATCTATAAAATATCAATTCCTTGAGGTGTTCCTACTGAACGGAAGCAACGAATCTCGCGTCCCAAAAGTAGGCATTAGCTTGGATTAGAGCCTGCCATGATGAACCATTAATAAGATTTATAGTGCTATATAACGAACTATATAGAGTGCGCATTAATAAGAAGATATATAGTGCTCATTAACAACAAGGTATACTGTGCGTGGACCTATCGTATAGAAACACGAATATATTGACTTAATAATACTTATAGGCTCGTCGGACAGCAGTGCTTTCACCTGATCAAAAAAACTCAGTGAATTAACGTGCAGAAGCAATAAGTGATTCGTGAGTTAAGTGAGACGATCAAGAATACTCAAGATGAACCCTAACAATATCAGTGGTTTCTACAACAGCATGGCATCGTGCTTCAAGAAATACACGGGTGAGTAGATATTCGCTTCAACAATTAATTTCTTACATTTATTTATTATAATTAGCGATATTTCATCTATTTTCATTCATTATCCATAATTCATCTTTTTTTATTCATTATCATTAGCCATATTTCATCTATTTTTATTCATAATAATTTATAATTAGCGATACTTTATTTATTTCTATTCATTGCCATAAGCGATATTTCATCTATTTTTAATCATAATAATTAGCGGTATTTCATCTATTTTTATTTGTTATCATTAGCGTTATTTTATGTTTTTTTTTTGCTTGCCAATAGTTTCAAAGAAAGAGCACTCAAGACAATCTTTATGATCGCCAGTATAAATGCAAACGACAATGTTTGATCAAGTCGCCTGAATCATATTTAACCAAATGATTCATCGATTAATGCAATGATTATGCAAATTAATCAATTAATACAATCATTTGACATTAGAAATTCAAGGTTCAGTTCTCATTCGAGCTGCTGCCTCTCAAACAATCACTAATTAAATCTTTTCTACGTCTCTTCTAATCTAAGCTTTGCTCGAACTAACGAGTTTATAAGAAAGGCTTATTTCCTTCACTTAGTAGCAACTGATGAGCGAATACATTTTTTAATTACCTAATGAATTTTAGGAATAATTATTCTAAGAATTAATAGCGAATTATGAAATAATATAATAATTCATAAAATAATAATTGACAATACGAAAATAACGACACGTGCATTATCTTGATACTATAACGCCATGTAACATGATACTATAATGACTAGGTCGTTAAACTATCATATGGTCGCACAAAATACGAATGATAAAAAAAGATAATAAATGCTAAATGCAAATGCAGGATATAAACCGAGGGAATACATCGTATTGCCGCCAATCTCAAAATGCTGTTCGAAACAATTTAACATCAATGGTCTCGTTGAACAGGCAATAACATTTATGGCTAACAAAGGTACTTTAGTTGAATAATTATCGACTACATGGCTAAAAAATAAAATAAATAACTAAGACATTTAAAAAATAAACATGTACCGTAGCTCAACATTTATATAATTTGCGCAAATAGAGATGAATTTGCTCAAGATGTGTGTAAATGCCCCTGAATTCGAACGTATATATCATGTATACTCATAAAACCAATTTTATGAACACTCCTATAGTAGTAAATAACTACTCAAAATGTAGACGAGGCAGTAAGCTACTACAAATTTTTGGTGAGCTTACTGCCTCGTCCTATAATTAACACTTTACACGCAGAAAAATCAATTGGTCCTATTGTCCATACATCCTATTGTCCTATATACTTTCTGCACGTAGCACTGATCCGTCTCTTCGGCCGGGTTAAACTGTGTTAGGATTACTCACACCAGAGCAAGAAGCGAGTCGCTGTATGGACAAAGCCACCCAGCATTTCTTTGAGTGCACAGGAGTCGCGGCATTCCAGGCACGGCTGACTGGAATATCAGCAGCATTCCCGATGGTGGTTATGGTCAGGAATGCGGGACTGGAATGCTAAACGCAAGGCGACCACGTTACCGCTCTTCAGAAATGACATATTCTTATCCTAACACGTATCAGTACGGTAATAGTAGACAAATGGTAAAAAGTTACATTAAAAATTACTGTGCCTCCTAAAAACAAATGAACAAATATCATAACTAAATTATATCTATTACGTGATAACATCCCAATAAGTTAAAATCTGTGATGATAGAATTAAACGTTTGTTAATTGCATACTATAATAACTTGAGCTCTGAAATTAAAATATAAGGAAGTTATATTAAATGGTGATAACTTAAAAAATAATTATACAAGGAAATAGTTTCAACCTTAAATACGCAGAGGGTGTAATTGGGCGTAATTACCAATAAGTTACCGATGCTAGTTAGGTATTGCTACAACCGTGGTAAAAAATTTAAGTAAATGAGCGTATATTTCGAGTCTCGACTACTAGTGGACTAATTCACGTCTTCATATTTGATGTATAAATTAAGGCGGTAAGTTTATGCAAGGTGTGATAGGCGCTAGATATGTACTAACTACATTAGCGCTATATTGGTAGTAAATAGGTTCCAGATACACGCAGAGAAATGAGCGTGTCTTTGTCCTTATAGCGGTCTGCTTTTTTTGCTATTGTCTGGATCATCGTGGCATAGTTTGGCCCGACAAATGTGTGTACCAGAGATACGTGCATTAAGTGCGTTATTATTTGGACACCATAACCACATAATATTCCTGAGTGTAGGAACTAGATAGGCTGGGATAGGCCCTCAAAAGGCACTAGTTAGGTGATTGGCGGAGACATAAAAGAGTGATGATAGCTTGAAGCCTCATAAGGCCGCCTCAAACATAAACTAGGTTCGTGAGAGCGCCGCTTGTTTTCCCCGTAATCCATTCTGCTCGGGTTAGAATACAAGAAGATACTTTCAGAAAAATGTCAACAAGCAGTTTTCTTTTACTCTGGTAAATATTTTTCAATTTTTCGACACAAATATATATAGTCACAAGCAGTCATATAAACACAGACGCGCACATCACCCAGAGAATTTCTGGAAGCGGTTTTGGTTTCCTACACAGAATATATTTACATTTCTATCATTTACACAAACAAACACGGATAATAATGTATAATCATTGTGTAAACAAATCTTTAGATATGCTGCAGGTCTTGCTTGCACCAATCATTGCCAATAGCAGCAATGGGCTCCAGTCTGGGATGAAGAGACGACTCAACAGAGAAGTTAGAGCGTTACGAGCAGCTTTCCAGCTGAAAAACTTAAACAAGCAACAAACTTTAGTTGATTATCTCAAGCCAACGCCTCACTAGACGTCGATATTGTCGAGTACGGAGATGCATTGCATCACTTCATGCAGCTGCCACCGAGCGTATGCCACCTTAGGAGAGTCTTACTTACACGTACACTTGCACGTAGCAAGTGTGGCTGCTATACACGTACACTTGCACCTAGCAAGTGTGGATGCTACACGTGCACTTGCACGTAATTGCTGAACACCGAATTAAAGCCATAAATTACTCGGAAAAAATTGTATGCACGACATTAGTTAAGATTTATTAACAACACCGCGGAATATCTGGCCTCAAGTTCGACAAGAATTCAGTTTATTCACAGTTACACGAATTGAAATTGCGAGCACTTTAAGAATATAAACGGAATTTAAGAAATGTTTAGAAAACTTTTTATGTGATAACGTTGGTAGTAATTTTTGGGTTTAGTTTTGCAACTTAATTAATTAGCCAATTTCATTTGGTATTCTAGAACCACGAATGATCAGCAGCTGCCGGCATATACTAGTACCGCTTTAATATTATTCATCAAAATTGCATTAGACCTTTAAAAAATTTTTGATGCTCGAGTTTTGCCAAGAATGTTAGTAGATTCTGCCTGGATTTAAGGACGCAAATACGCGCGCTTCATAACCTCTCTCCTAGAATCCTTTGATCCCACTCCTCTAGACCTTAGACTCCACTCCTACTTGTATCAATCTTCCACTCAGAGAAATGCGCGAGACTTTGTCCAAATAGCGATGCGCTTTTAGCCGTGTGTGAATCGCTCTGACCCGGTTTGCCCCCTGTTGAAAGTTCGTACCAGTGCTAAGAACGGAAAGAGTGTCACTATTTAGACAACATGACCTACTTATTTTTGCGAGTGTCCCCAAGTATCCCCAGTAAGAAATCCCCACCGTCCCCCAAACCCCCTCCCGTCTCTTCCTCTCGGCACGGGGATCAATAAGTTCTCGGGACTCCCTCCCCATCGTCCAGCTCCCTCAACCCCACGCACTCCCGTACTCTCTCTCTATTCTAGTAACGTAGCAGACATCAACACGCTACCTAGTCCCGTACTCTCTCTCTATTCAAGTAACGTAGCAGACATTAACACGTTACCTAGTACCGTACTCTCTCTCTCTATTCTAGTAACGTTGCAGACATTAACACGTTACCTAGTCCCGTACTCTCTCTATTCTAGTAACGTTGCAGACATTAACACGTTACCTAGTCCCGCACTCTCTCTATTCTAGTAACGTTGCAGACATTAACACGTTACCTAGTCCCGTACTCTCTCTCTATTCTAGTAACGTTGCAGACATTAACACGCTACCTAGTCCCGTACTCTCTCTCTATTCTAGTAACGTTGCAGACATTAACACGTTACCTAGTCCCGTACTCTCTATTCAAGTAACGTAGCAGACATTAACACGTTACCTAGTACCGTACTCTCTCTCTATTCTAGTAACGTTGCAGACATTAACACGCTACCTAGTCCCGTACTCTCTCTATTCTAGTAACGTAGCAGACATTAACACGTTATCTAGTCCCACCCTATCTCTCTATTCTAGTAACGCTGCAGACAGTCTCACGTTACCTACTTTGCTTCCTCCCAAACGATATCGGAGCTTTGTAGCCAAAAAACTTTACAAACGTTACCACTGTGGTTCGCTGCCAAATTAAGTTCATCAACTTTATTCCAGTCAACATCAATATTCAGCTACTGTATTTTATCATTCAATGAATATTCATCAAAGCAGATGATTCATGCCATGAACGATCATTTGATATTTTAGATCAGTTTCGGAAAAGCAAGTTACTACAGTCGTATAAATGAAGCTGCGCATTTGAACCTCGGAGAAAACAAAAGCACTCAGCACCACAGATAGCGAGAAACTCCAAAGACCATATCGTTCTCCGCCCCAAATATCAACGTTCTCTGCACCAAAGACCATAACATAAGACCATAATAACTTAATATTCCCCCCAAATATCAACGTTCTCTGCACCAAAGACCATAACATAAAACCATAATACCTTAATATTCCATGTCATCAAGACCAAAATGTTCTCTGTTTAGGAGACCATCTCAGCACGGTCCTTGTTATAAAGACAATAATCTTTCTGCAATACACAATTTACTGAGCCTAACCAAAAAACATTAACAAAGCACCTCCACCTGTGGCATACCAGCTTTATTTCCTCTAATAGAAATCCACCTATCGCTAAGATTTGGTCCAAATAATGGTGATTTGAGAAAAAGGTTGGAACTTTCTGAAGAATTGCGGGCAATCCAGCAAAAGAAAAAGTAAAGAAAAAAAGGCTGAATCTGGCAGAGAATATTTTTTTGGCCAAACATTGGCAGAAGTTGGCCATCCGTTTTGGTGCTGCAGGCCAAGAAATCAAGACTTATTTATTTTCATTGCAGAGTAAATGTCTATTTATTTACCGTGGGAGAGATATTGCGTGCAGACACTGCGCTTTCTAAAAGAGATTTCCGGCAGGTCGCGGTTCGTGAAGCTACACAGAAAGAAGAGGCGAAATGGTGCCCAGGGCAACCTTGTTGAAGGTTTCCTACGATATTTAATTAAGAATGAATATCTTTGTTCAATTTCTAACTAGGATACCTCAAAATCTAATGAACGGATAGAAATTAAACATATTAATAATGTTTTCTCCATCACAAGGCATAGAGTTGTCTTTATGATGCAGATATAGCGATTTGTGCTGCAAAATCTGTGTTATAAAAACTACTTATTAAAGATTGTTTGATTTCCGAGCCTACATCCCTTAGTTGCAGCAATGCACAAGTTTCAATAAAATACAAGCGTAATGAAACGCCGAACACTCGTAAAACATGGAGAACTTAGAACTTGACGGTCCATTGAACTTAAATGGACGACAATCGAAAACTTAAGTCGATAAAAAATCAGCATGGGAACTCAATAAGCTTGTGCCTTGAAAGGCTTTTTAAATGGTTAGGATTGTTAAAAGTACAAGTGGTTTTGATTAGCATACTCTAGTTAGAAAGTTCGTCAGCGATTTATTGGATTAGTTACCGAGTAAATATTTATTAGCGCTATTATCGCACATTGAAAAGCCGTAACTAGTGTGGTCCAAGCCTAGGATTCGATCAGTTTCAGGTCAGCAATAACTTTGGTTTGTCTTGGCTTTGTTTGAGGAAATTACGATGGCTCGCTGGCAAGTTCCTGGCATGACGAGAAGAATTCCATTGCAATGCCAAGCGTGCCCGGGACCGCGAGGATTGCCTAGTACGAAATAGCTTCGCGGCAAAACATTTCCGATGCTTCCAGTCAAAATTGCGACAAGCAAATTTATCTATAACTTTGAATTACATTTATCAATGATGAATGATTATCAATGATGAATGAATTACATTTATGATGACAATGATTTATCAATGATATTGAATTACATTTATCGATGAAACAACATTAACTGATAAATATAACATGATACTTTACAGCAATTGCTAATGAATCCAAAATGAACATTGTTCATCAGAAAAAGCGCACGAACGAGATTTTATCAAACAAAAAAAAAAACGTATTTTCGGCAGAATAATAGAGCACTCAGAATTAAAAGGGAAAGAGTTAAGAACGTAGACGCTGCCAAGGGACCGGAGCAGGTGAAGCTGACCGGTCTGATCAGCTGATAACAGCGGGGCTTCTGATCAGCTGATAACAGCGGGCCGTCTGATCAGCTGATAACCTGTCTCTTATACACATCTAGATGTGTATAAGAGACAGTGCTGACACTTGCTGTCTCTGACAGTAGCCATGTCCAGCATGCTGACACTTGCTGTCTCTGACAGGAGCCATGCCCAGCATGCTGACGCTTGCTGTCTCTGACAGGAGCCATGCCCAGCATCCCAGGGAGACGCCCTGAGGCCGAGGGGGCGGCGACCCCTGAACCCAGCCTGGAGGGCGCCAGCGGGGGCGACACCCCCCTGATGGAGCCCGAACTCCCCGAGCTTCCTGAGGAACAGAAACTCCCCCCGGGAGTGCTGCATATCCAGGAGGGCGGCATCGTTTATAAGGTACTTAAGTAATGGTTAATTTTCGGTCTCTTGGGGTTAATCATCGGTCTCTTACGGTTAATCATCGGTCTTTTACGGTTAATCATCGGTCTCTTAGGGTTAATCATAACTCCCCGAAGGTAATTCAGCGGTCTTTTAGGGTTAATCACAGTCTCTTAGGGTTAATAACCAGTTCCTTAGGGTATATATGTGGTATCTTAGGGTTATTCAGCTGCATCTTAGTGCAATTCACCGTTCCCTTAGGGCTAATCATCGGTGAACCATGTTATCCATAATTCAGTCTAAGGGGGCCGAAGTTAATAGAAAGTGAAGAGCATGTACGAAAAACGGCAGGCATCATCCATGATACAGGCTTGGTATTCTGCACTAAAAAATAGGCCTTCTATGCATCATGTGCAATAAATAATAAACGACAAGAACTTAAGGTGCTGCAAGGCAAAGTAACAATAATAATGATAATAATAATAGTGATTAAATTAATGACAATAATAATAATAATGATTTTATAATAATGATACTAATAAAAATAATAATATGCCGGGGCATCATAGCACGACGATGGAGAACGACATTTTAACAAGTCGTAAGCGGACTCGTTAAAATCCGAGGACCGAAGCTCGTAAAATTGCAGGAGTAGTTTGGAGTTATAGTAGCTTCTGGATGGTAGCTTTTCGGGGCGAAAAATTGTTTTCGCTTGAAACTAACTATGAATTATATACCTGTGAAGAGAACTGATAAGCCAGCTTAAACGTTGTTCTACGTCTCTTCGAGAGTTGGTCACATTTCGACGTTGATTAAACGTTTAATTTGGGTTGATAATATTTCAACCTGAAATCGACGTTGTTTCAACGTCAGATGCCTGCTGGAAGGTTGCAGAAGATATAACACATTGCTTTGATGCATTATCAGCTGAAAATATAATGTGCAGTTATCAACAGATGTGAGTAACATAGAGTAAAACTTTCCATTTAGCTTAAAAAAGCCTTCAATTAAGCTACTGTTCTTGCAGATACTGACGGAGGAGCAGTCGGACGCGGCAGTAGACCTGCTGTGTAATCATTTCTTCAAAGACGAGCCGCTGGGTAAAGCCCTGCACCTTGACAGCCCACGAGAGGTCGACCACTGGCTCGCTAACTTGCTGCCTTACATCGTAAGTATTTTGTTACTGATTATATTTTACTGCAGATTACTTAGTAACTGAGATAGTACCACTTGTTACATTACATCGTCAGTATTTTGTTACAGATTATATTTTACTACAGATTACTTAGTAACTGACTTATCGAAAAGAACAATAAGAAAATCGTAAATAAAAAGTACGCTCTGGTCTTCAACCAAACCTGTATAAATGAAGAACTTCTGCCTAACTACACTAATATATATATATATATATATAAATATATTATTACATATTATTACATTATCTTAATGATCATGAATTAACCAATAAATTCTTCAGATCCGTCACGACGTCTCGGTGGTTGCAGTGGACGAGGAGAACGACAACAAGATCGTCGGCGTTGCCATCAACTCCATCAAAGTGATTAGTTAAACTGCTTCAATAACAGATATTACATTCAGTTTGTTAAGAACTGATTGCTATTAGCACTACCTTCTAAACAACCGAATGATATTTCAAATATTTCCTTAACAACTGACGGCTATTACAGATAGTTTGTTAACAACTGAAGGCTACTCCAAGCCTTTCGTTAGTAACAGATGGCTATTACTGATAGCTTGTTAACAATTGAATTCATTGACCTAGCTTTACATCGATATGTGAATACCAAAAGATCATCACGCACGAGACGTTCAAGCAACTGCCATGAAATAAATATTAAGAGGAATATTATTTGAAAATTTAACACCATTAAAAATACACTGTTAGAAAAAGCGGTGAAAAAACGGTCCCACCGGCGTCCTAGTGGCCGTTCGCCCCGTGAAATAAACTGTTTCGCCGTTTTTATCAGATGCTTTACGGATTTCTGGTGTTAAATTGGAATAAAAACGGTTACACGTTGTTTCTTTTCACGTGCCGACCGGCCACTGAAACGCCGGTAATACCGTTAACGGTCATTTTTCTAACAGTGTATAACAAGGCTGACTCAATGAAAACCTGAGGATTTATCATTGATCCCCACAGGAGAAGGATGCGACCCCGGGGCTGGATGATTTCCTGGCATGGATAGACCCCCAAAAAGACCCTAAGATGTTCCGCATCATCTCATTCCTGCGACATGTCTCGCAGGAGGTGGATTTCTTCGAGAAATACGGCGTCGACAAGGTACGTATTCTGCTGTAGAACATACGAGTACACGACTTTAATATTCCTAGTGAAGGTCGAGATCTACGGCATCGACAGGACAAAAATATTCAAATAAAAACATATACAAGAACACGGCCTTAACATTCTTACTGGGATTCGAGGAATAACAGGTAACAGAGTACGTATTGCGTTAAATTACATGAATTACGCGACCGAAAAAGTTCTTTCAGAATTGATATTTGCATATATTGTCGCAAGATGAAGACAGATGATGATAAAAAAATGAAAAGAAAAAACATTTTATCTGTCGCATTAGTGACATTGCAGTCGCCGCACAGCAGTGTTGCGCAACAATAAAGCAAAAGTAAATTTAATTAAATTCAAGTTGTTTCTGTGGAGGGAACGGATGTACCACTATAAAAGAGTTAATATAATAATAAATATGTAAAATTTATTCTGATACAACCGAAAAAATACCACACAAGGGTAATCTTAATAAATAAGCCATACATACTGTATTTTGCAGTAGCCAATGCACGCATGACGCCGTTCGAGCTGCTGAGCGGCAACGAGTGTAATAAGAAATTTATATTCCGATACAGCCGCAATAGATGTACCATTTACAGTTAATATAGTAATTAATACGCTATATATTCCTAATATAGTAATAAATAATTCATGTATTCTAATGTACACAGCTGATGCAGTTTGAGCTGCTGAACGTGAGCAAGGAGTACAGCGGCCGAGGCATAGCATCCATGCTGGTCCAGCAGAGCGTTGCCCTGGCGCGCCAGCACAACTTGACGTGTCTTGTGGCCCTCACTACAGGTGAGGTGCCCTCACTACAGGTGAGGTGCCCTCACTACAGGTGAGGTGCCCTCACACAACAGGTGAGGTGCCCTCACAACAGGTGAGGTGCCCTCAACAGGTGAGGTGCCCTCACAACAGGTGAGGTGCCCTCAACAGGTGAGGTGCCCTCACAACAGGTGAGGTGCCCTACCAACAGGTTAGGTGCCCTCACAACAGGTAAAATTTGAAAGTTGTTAAACTTATTTTTCAAATCATGTTTTCCGTAGTAATTTATCTGTACCTATTTTCATAGCATGCTCACGAGAATAAAATGAAATTGATTGAATTCTAATTTTGATTTCCACTTTACCGACAAGCTAATCCACAGTGACATGCTATTCCACTGTTTTTTTTTAATAAAAGCCGTGCAAATACCAAGAAAATTTATCAAAATTATCCGCAGGGATTTTCTCGGCCAAGATTTTCGCACGGCACAACTTCCGCACCATCCGCGAGGTGCCTTACAGCAGCCACCGCGAGAACGGCAAGCTCGTCTTCCCTTCCACCGGCATCCACACCTCCACGCGCGTCGCTGTCAAAATCCTGCAGTAGCCTCCACCACCTGGCAAGCTCGTCTTCCCTTCCACCGGCATCCACACCTCCACACGCGTCGCTGTCAAAATCCTGCAGTAGCCTCCACCACCTGGCAAGCTGGTCTTCCCTTCCACCGGCATCCACACCTCCACACGCGCGCTATCATAATCCATCCACCGAAGCTTAATAGCTAATTGCCGAAGCTAAATAACTTGACGCTAAGTTGCCGTTGAAGAAATTCTCTGCGTTCGCGCATAAAAAAGCGGAGCGAGAGAACTGCGCAGCCGTTCTACGCCCGAGGCAACATAAGTTTATTTATAACATTTAATCATAGAGTAAAATCTGTTAATAAAACGCGAGGTTTTGCCCACAAATTAAAAAATTCAAAGTTTTCACAAACAATTAAATAATGAAGCAAAAAACATAACTATAAACCTCGGAAATACATAAAGGTTCGTAACCAAGCATTGAATTTGGATGCAGGTAAATAATCGACAGCATTACTGCTTTACCGGTCAAAAAACGATTTAATCTTACTAGGATTTACGAGTTCAAAGGAAGGGCGGTTAACTAAGTTAAGGCGTTTTTTAAAGGCGGTTAACTTTCATGTAAAAGAGAATTTAAAACAAGGCTTCACATCCTAACGCATTTAATATTAAAAACCAGTGACTTCATGTGATGCGTTGCCTCTCTCTAACACCTTTATAACAACGCCAACTGAGCGTTTTATATACTACGCACTGACCGAGCTACCAAGCAACAATTGGCTTATAAAGCCTGTGCTGTAAAAAAACTTAATCAAGCACCTCTGACCGAAGGTAATATTATAGGCGAATTACGGGCGGCCAGTGCCTGATATTCTCTATTGTAAGAGTGAGTCAACGACGCCAGGAGTTAAATGATGCATTAAGCAAGACCTTCCTCCAGTAATGTTCTTCAAACGATTATGTCCATCACGCAACCTGCGTCCATGCTACTGCTATCAGTGACATCTTTTGCATAGAACTTCAGGAATATTCAGTTTAGAATACATGACTACAATAAAGAAAATTGAACGAATAAGAATGAATAATTCAATTAAAACGTGGAATCAATTAATATTAACATTCAAAATCTCGAAGGTCAAAATAAGCTTTCCATTAGTATTGCAGGTGCGATTCTTCACTAAAAGCCCAACAAAAATTGCACAATTGTCCACATAAACTAAAAAGGTTCACGACCCCCGTCTTTCCCTTTAAGTAAATTACAACCAAACTTGAAATGAAGCTTCCCATTTGCATCGATGCTATCGTGTTTAGTCCATGCAAGTTGTTATCGATGTTGTTGCTGTTGTTGATTAATATCGCCCTAACCTCTTGTTAATGCAACAGAATCTCGTCTACGCGTAATATATAAGTTTGCTGTAATGAAAACAGCCGTAACTTAGGTGTAATTTAACTGGTCTTCAATAAAATACTTAATACCGTACTCATTAATAGCGTAAACTAAGTTTAAAGTTGAAGTTGAAATAAGTTGACGCATATAAAGGCATTATCATTAAGCATAAATTGACGCTTTATACCGATAAGTTATGTCAAACATCATTGACGCTAAGACGATAGTGAAAGTTATACGCAGCAAGGCATATCCTATTGCGACGCAGTTCCTTAAACTTCTAGCTTGATTAGAATTGATTGACACTAATTTTAAAGTGCGTAGAATAAATCCGTAACTTTTAGGCCAACGATACAATGATTTTCACTGTTATTCACCGTTGTTCGTAACACACTATTGTTTACTGTTGTTTATGAGTTACAGTTACACAATTAGTTACTGTTGTTCGTAAGACTTTGGTTCCAACATGTTCCTACCAATGACCATTGCTTAACACTCATACATGACTAGGGAAAAGTATAAGTAGAAATCTTGCTGAGAAGCGCATGACGTCAAGTCTGCATTCCAGACTTATTCTACCTATATACTCGCATACTCACGGATGAATGCTGGGATCTCGCTCAGAAGCTGCATTTAAACTCTACTCAATATCGTAAATTAGTCACAAATTACCAGCAAAGCCAAATGATAAATCTCTCGAGGTTTTCAGCAAAGATGAGCCTTACATCTCAAAAATAACCACGCGTTTGGTAGAATAATTTCAATAATTAGCAGTTAAAAAAGAATTCTTTATTATCGAGAGTGGGAATTCTTGAATTCGAGATCATCGTTTGCAATTTCATTGACTCGACACCAAAACAAGATGATTTGACGTATATATACGACGATTTTTAATGACAATTTTTTCAATTAACACTTAAAGAGACACGACTCGCTTTATTGCAACAAAAACATTGCATCATGGAACAAAGTCTGTTCGAAGAGTGGTCCAATAATGAGGTTTATGATACTTTTTATTATTAATCTATAATTGTGTGGTCTATACTATTTTAATTGTTCATCAGCAATTTAGAGCAATGAATTATTTTTTCCCTCCAAGTCGATATATATACACATTCCCCAACATTGAACTAAAAATGTAGCGGAATTTCAGCTAAGAGTCGTTTTTCAACTTGTTTCAAGCCGACTGAACCACTCGTATCGTAACCATTAAGTTTGTAAGCCGGACAACTTGTGCATCAGTTTGAAGTTATACATACGAAATATTTAAATAAACTTGAAATAGTTCACTTAATTTTAACGTCAATTAAGTTATGGATGAATGAGAAGCGGAACGGATGCATTAATCGACTCTGAATACTTACACTGAAAAATCTCCGATAAGTTTGAATCCATGTGAAATTTTAACTCATTTTATATAAAGTTTCTTCAAACACAATAAACTTCAAATGCATGAAACGTCTTTTCTCTTGTGCATTGCTTCCTATGGTCCAAATTACCTCCAAGGGCGGCGCGCTATCTCCCGCATCCCGGATTTTCCATCTATAAGCGTGAATTTCATACAAGTAGAAACGGATAAAGACAGCAATTCGCGGATGAACGGAAAATAAAAGCAGGGTTGGAAGCAGATCGGAGTAACCTAGTGGTACAGTTTACCATGATCGGATCAGCGAGTTGAGGGGTTCGGAACCCTCAATTAGTAACGAAAATTCTGGTCGAAATCGACGTTGTGGTCGGGCGTTAAGAGTCGTTGGGCACCAATTTATTAAAAGTCAATGTTTAAGACTATGAGGCAAGTTTGAGACCAGAAAAAAATTTACAATCCAAAACATCCTCGAATACAATGAGATTTTCGTGTGTGGAAAGTCATGAAACATACCCTAGCAACCTCTGCCACTTGAATGATTGTAGTCCATGTGAAATTCTCAAATATTGTACAAATACATACAAACGTGAAAAATCATGAATCAGGTTGAACTATGATAAAAAAATCTTTCTCTTAACCTAGTCCTCATGTTTCAATGACAACAATAGAAAGAAAGATTCACACAACAGGTACGGAAATGTTAATCTTTCATTACAATACATTACCTACAGCAATCCACTAATTCATTCACATAAATGATTAACAACAAAACAAACACCACTGCAGTAATAATTCTGTGACATAAACAAATCAAAAAAAGTGCACAGGAAATGACACAAGAGGATTGGATCAAGTGTTTAAGAAAATAATTCAAAGCAGGAAAATCTTAACCATCAGAATATCTTCAAAATAATATACATTTAGAACTCAGACATACATTTGTTAAGGATTCAATTTAATTATTAAGAAGGTTGGTAAGTTGACCAGGGTTAATGTTATGAATAAATTACATTATTGTAGAAGAAGTTAAGAACTACCTTTCATTTTTCACTTGATGCATTTACAGCTTATGAGGTTAGATATTGCACATCACACAATTGCTTCATTGCACATATATTATTCAAACCCATGGCATTGGATCACAATTTGTGTTGTAGACAATTGGTATTTACTTTGGACTGTAATAGAAGCAAATATTATAACATAGGTAACTAAAATGTAATTAGTCTGATTATCACTAATAATTAAAATAAAACGCCTTTTTATTGTTTTATACATGTTATTTAAAAAAATGTCATTTTCCTATTAAATATTGCAACTAATAAACAAAAGTATGTTATTTATTGAGTGATCTTCAAAGAAATTAAAGATTAATTTTATTATTTTAAAGCAGGGAATTCATGCAGTAGCTGGCCACACAGTAAAACAACTCAGTGGCTTACCTTCCCCGGTTTGTTGGCCTCATTGGAGCACTGAGCTCGCACTGCTACTAACCCGAGCACAGCATCCAAGAGGCACCCTACACCCCGGCTTTGGGAGGGGCAAGGAAGGGAGGAGGATGGAGGGGGAATGAAGGGAGAAGAAGAGGAAAGACAAGGTGAAAGAGAGGAAGAAAAAGAGAAAGGTTGGGAATGGTAAGAGGGGGTGAGGGAAAAGGAAGAGGAAGGTGGGGGGAGGGAACAGGAAAGACTGGATTGGGAGTGCTTTAGGTCAAAAGAGGAATAGAAGAGAACAAGAAAAACAAGAAACATTAACCAATAATTCAATAAATAATGTAAGACATGGATAAAAAATACATGGGAAACAGTGCATGAATTAAAATGAAATGCCAAAAACCTAGCATGGCCAAACCCATACATATAAGCCGAGAAGGTAAATTTAATATTTAGAACAGAACTTAAAGTAAGGTAAAAATTATTTCTGGGAACAAAGATTTTTAATATTTCCAATGGGCATGCATTAATTAAAAGTGGAAAGGTTTACTTTGTTCATTAGATGATTTTAAAAAATAACAATTAAAAGTGTACTATAGTTTTTCTCAGACTTTTCTAAAAAATTAGGCAAGGGTCATAGTAACAATAGAAATTTATTGTAAACACATGCATTTCTGTTTTGATCATGGGTGGCTTTTGCGCCAGTTTTCCACTTTGGTAAGCTGTATGCAGAGGCATTTTGTAGCTTATTTCATTAAATAAACATTACACAATATTACAGTGGGGGGAAATAAATATTCGTACACTTGAAAAATCGTATTTTAATGTATGTAAGTACACAAACTTAACAGGAAAAGTGATTTAAATTATGTATAGAGACACATAGTATTCAAAAATACTATCAAAAGAAATTAAATAGAAGGAACATTCAAGTGGCTAGCAATCTTCCTATAACTTTCTCCTTCCTTCCAACGCAATAGAATTAGTTGTTTTAGGGAACTTGTTAGTTCTTTACCTTTAGCCATTTTTGAGACCTTCTTGTAGTACGGGCAGTTGCAGAATGATCTGGTAGTTGCAAAATACGTTAACTATGGTTACTGATTACATTACTGGAACGTGCTACATGTTTCTAGTACATTCTGGAATGTTCTGGTGTGAAATATTAGTCAAAAGTTGTTTTGTATGAATACTTTTTTGACCCGAAGAAGTTAACATGTTGCATTAATTTTTGTTACATTGAGATTTAATTTCTATTGATGCTATTTTTGAATACAATGCGCCTCTATACATAATATAAATCACTTCTCCTGTTCAGTTTGTGTACTTACATACATTAAAATACGATTTTTCAAGTGTACGAATACTTATTTCCCCCCACTGTATTTCTGGAGCTATCTCTTTTTTAGTTGAAGGGCAATTATGCTCCATTTCCAATAGAGTTGAAGAGCCACAAGATTTTAAATTAGATCAGTAATATAACGATAGCTGTAACATTTCAAATCAGCTCAAGGCAATGAGAAATATAGGAGGGATAATATATAAATAACAGATATAAAAATATAGAACTAGATTTAACTTTTATAAATCCACTAATATTTTGGAGCTGGTGCCTGGTAACTTGGTAAGTTATAAGGTTGTATTGGCCTTGAATTTATGGTAAACACACCATATTCCAACACTGTGAGTAATTCCGACACCCCTCAACTTTTTCCTTTATATTAAGCTTGGTATTAGTTCCACGCATGCGTAGATGGTTGAAATAGTGACATCATACTGTTGCACGCAAGATTTCCACAAAACACAAGGTCTAGCAGGAAAATGTTAAGAACCGCAGAGCAAAAGTCCAAGTCAACTAGTGAGAACATCAAAACACGTATGAAAGTTGATAGTTGACCTTGCTTTACTAAATAGTGATAAACTGTTTGTGTAGAAAGAATAGTATGGTTTGAGACTTTTAAATAAGTCTGTGAATATATTAGGAATCCTTCAAGTCTACTTGTATTTGCTGATTTTAAGTGGTAAATAAATTAAGGGATGATTGATTTAAGAGATGGTTTTAGACACATAAAAACTAATTCTACACGGTGTTGCAATTACGACACACAGCCGTGACACAGGGTGTCATATTCCAACACAGCTCACTGCTCACACAGGGTGTCTGAGTTCCAACACAGGGTGTCAGAATTACGAATTACAATTTTGAAGCGCTGTTGGAATTAGTCTCACAATGTGCCGCATTTAGTCACACACTGTTTTGGAATTCAGCGCTTTTGTAGATTTGAATTCTAAAGGCTTTCAAATAAATATGGCAAGTTGGCAACAGTTTGTGAAGTTTCATCATTGCTTGCGCATAGTAGTGTGGTCTTTTGAGAGTGATGTAAACCAATCAGAACTTGAGTTGCGCATACGGTGATCTATTTATAGCAATTTATTTCTTGCTACGTCCTAAAGGTGTCAGAATATGGTGTGTTTAACTTCAACTTTACCCTATGATCTGCCATTTTTTAGAACTTTATCTAAGCTCAGAGCATGCACTGTTATAGCTGCAATATTGTAGCTAATAAAAATAGTTTTACAATCTTGTGAGCAGGCTAAGCAGTTTGAAGCTAGACAACTAAATTGTGAATTGTATTATTTCCTACCTAGTCAAAGACTTGCTGAAAAAATCATTCTGATGATCTGATCTCCCATATACCTACCTGCAAAAAATATATAGGTAGCACTTGATTTACACTTTCAGGCTTTCAGCAGAATAGAATTATATCCCAGTAATGTCCAAATTATAGCTAAATTATTCAAGATAATTCAACCTGGTCAGCTAATAAGTGGTAACATCAGGTTCACCAATCACCATTCAGTTTCAGAAAATAACTTGAATAAGAAAAGTATATAGATACAAAATCAAATTTTAAAATTTTAGTTCAATGATATGTGTATCTTCCTAAAAAAAACTCATACAGAATTCCACCTTCATTTACAGAAAGGGTAAATAAGCTATTACATATCCTACAAAAACAAAATGCAGACATGACATGCACATGCAGGCTTGCAGCACGAGCACAAAATCTAGAATGCCAGAAAAATGTGCTACAGGCTTGGCCAAATCTCCGTAATTGAGCAATCAATGCATTATTTCATGGCTTTGACCGCATGGATGAAATATATTCGACACTAAAACTACATGCAAATAATAAAAATTCTCACCGCATCGGTAGCAGAGAGATCCATTGGTGTCATATCACTCGTTGTCACCTAGGCCGGCGGGCTAACCTGCTGTAGTATGTGTCTTTTAAATGTTCCACCACTACGAGGGAAAATTCGCGTCAACATAAACAATGCAAAAACTAACTATATTTTTATTATTTTCAACAATATAATGAAGCAAAAAAATTTTGTAAACTTTTGAAAGATCAATTTTGATATAAATAAAGATATTTGAGTAATTCCAATTGATTACTCCCATGTTTCTGTTGATTCGTGAAATATTGGAACTCGTCGGCGCATTGCAATGGTACACACAAATATAATGCAAATTAGCATAAAATTAACCCTCTGATGTAATTCGAAGTCAAAAAAATTCACTCTTATGGAGCTTACAATTTTGAAGCAATAGACCAGAATTCAAATTTGTTATTATTGCATCGTACTATCAGCAGCTGTGCACGTGAAACGATCAGCTGATCGAAGGCACAGCGAGCAGTCCGAAACTTGAGCGTCGATGTTGTTCTATTGTTTACATTTAGCTAGCTAAGCCTGTTTATCTAGACACAACATTAGATAAAAAAAATGCATGTATTAACCTTACATTAACGAGACTAGCCACCAATACCACTGTTAAAGTCGTAACAATCATACAACAATAGCTAATTTAACATCAACTTCGTAGGGTCGGAAGAAGCAACCTAGAGGTTGAATAAAGGTCATCAAGAATCAACAATAAACTTCTTTGCAGGATATTAACAGAAAAAACAGGATATCGACTGTTGAATGCGCAAGTGCCGATCTAACCATTTAGTGTCATAACTGTCCTATGAATCTATAAGTTATAACGCATGTTTGACTCCACAATATATATCGAATGTTATTGTACTCACAATATTCTTTGAACGGTATTGTATGCATAATATTTATTGAAAGGTATTGAATACAGAATACATAATATTTTATAGTAAACAGACTACCCGCGAACCATGGTTGAACTATAAAAGGTTGACCCACGAGAAGTTCCGTCTTTCATTTCAGCTTTCTTGTTACGTCACGTAGATCGAGAAACGTAAACAAACCCATCATTCTCTTTACGGATTGGTCGACTGGTTTGAACGCATTTCGGTGATTGGTTAATGACCGTGACGTCACTGAGATCAGTGACGTCACAGGCGAACAACGAACTACATCGGCAAAAATGGGCTTCTGAGGGGTCAACCTTATACTAGTTCAACCATGCCGCGAACATCGCGAACGACATCTTAAGCGCGTTCAAGGTCGATGAGCGGCATATATTTTTACCAGAAGAAACTATATATAATAGCATTCAGGCTTCAAATACACCAGTAACTATTTAGCTTCAAAATTCATTTTCATGAAGGTCTGATCAAAGAACCAATTCTAAGATCGGCCAGAAACTAGTCCAAGACATTTGACTAGTAAAGTCAACTTTTGTAAAGTTGAGCAAGACAGACTGCTCGGTTATTCGCAGAAACGAGACTACACTAGTATTGCCAGGACTGCCAAAACCCTGCACTAAGCGCTGTAAAAAGCGAAAAGATGGTGGAAGAGAAGTGCTCCTCTATGTTTTCCGTCTTTAAGGCCGAAATGGAGGAAATCAACAAGCAAGATTTGAGAAAGAGAGCCGAAATGGAAGTGAACCAGACAATAATTCCTGCTTGGGGATGAACCATGTTTTCGTGGAGAACGTTCTATAAGAGCCGATATTTGCAGGTCCGGTCCGTCAGAAAGCGTTTTGCGTCCCACGTTACGTACTCTGTGCCACGTCATAGTAAGTCCTTATGGTGCGTCCGCACCCAGATACACGAAGACATTTTTGGCCTAGACTCCTCCCTCAACCCAAAAGGACTCCCTGAACGGGAGCGAAAAGGACAGAAGCCAGCTAACAAAGGAATCGAAAGGTATTCTATTACTGAGTCACGAGGATGTTAGGTTTAGAAACAAAGGTTTTCCAAGAAGAAATTTTTATTTAGCGAACGAATTCTCAGATCCAGTTGTCCCAGATTCTAGTGAAGCTTGTTGACAATCGGTCCGTAAACAAGGTCAAACAGCTTAGTCGACTTGGTACTGGTTCGTCGTAACAGACGAATACTCAACCCAACATAACTGTAAGGCGGACCGGCAAACCTCTGAGGGAGAAAGCCAGTCGGGTTAAAGTTAATGAGTAAACAAATCAAATAATTAAGGTTTTGAATACTTATAACTTATAAGAAACTTTGAGTCACAAATTTACCGGTTACTTTAGACGTTTAGAGATCGCAATTCACACACGTGCTACCACGGCAAACGCAACTGACTTTCTCCTTACAAATCCATACCCAACAATAGGCATGAAGAAAAAGAATCAAAGATATTACAATTTAAGAACGTCGGAAATTTTCAACAAGGAATATATATTCGAAACTTCAGTGAAAGCTGCGTAATATTCGAACCCAGGTTACCCAGTTGCATGAGTCAAGCCTGATCTTCACAGCAAGGCTAAAGCAGAAAAACTTGATGTCCTGCTGTATTAACATAACATAACATAGTGATCTCGGCGCTTAAGTGTAGGCCTGATGTGGCCTGTCGCCCATTCTTTTCCTTTCCGTGCCTTGTTCACAGAAGATCTAAAATCGTGTCATTTGACCGTATCTTTTCACGTCTGACGAAAGTTTGAAATATCTACTCGACTTCCACCGGGTTCGATATGGTGCTAGGCATTTCAAATCTGAACATATATTTGAGGGTGAACGAATCGGCAGCGTAACAGAAGATTGTTGATGGTAGAAATTTTACTGCGAAAGTAAAAACTGAAATACACGTAATTTATTCATGAGTTTAAAAGTGAATAAAATGCCGCAAATATTCACCATATTTTATAGAATAAAATGTTCCGGAGTCAAGCTCTATCGTCAGATCGACAATTGTTGAATGCAAGTACAAATAATTGTAAGTAACCTATATATTCACATTGCAGACTTAAAGCTAACATTTACAAATAAAAGAAAATATCTAATTAATAACAAGTTCAAATGGATCAGAACTGAACGCAGCACTTGAACTAGGCAAATGTTTGAAAATAAGGATTTTAAAATTATGAAACCGGTTATGGAAGCTAAAGCATTACCGGATTAAAAAACCGGTTATGGAAGCTAACATTTTGAACTCGCTTTCGAATGCTGGGACTTTGCACTGCACCGCATTATCACGTACAGCTGAATGAAAGGAATGCACAGGTATCATGTTCGCGAACTCTTCCCTTGATGCTCCGCCATTCTAGAATAAAAGTTGCGTGACGTCATACCAACGTCATACGAACACACTTGCAAACTGAAGACGATCGCATCAAGTCAGGGAGAATATCTTTATACCTGAAGAAAGAGCAGACCCTGAAATTTTCACCACCAATACGCAAAACTGATATTCGCAAGGTATTTATGGATAAAACTTTCAACTCAAAACATAGTTTCAGATGCAGAGACAAAATATGTAAATGTACAGTAAATGTAAACAACGTCCCTTTAATTACACTCGCAGGAACATCCTCACTATTTGCTTGGATATGAATTTTTTAATTTGAGTTAACACCATGTGTAACGGAAGTCCATTAGGCGATAAGTTATTGTGCAAAAAATCAAATTCGAAGTGCATGGCATAGAAGGTAGAACAAATACGAAAGCCACGGCGTATTCGTTTGTGAATCTTATTTAATTCAAAACTAAGCAAATTTTAGGTGTAGAAACTGGTGCTTCAATTGTTAAACTTCAGTTTTCAGAAGTCAGAACCGTAAACAAATTCGGGCACTACCTAGGCTTCTGCCAAGAAGTCGCTACAATCGGCCTAAATGCGCACTGATATTCACACACGACGGATTTTAACGCGGCGGATTTGACGTCTGAGGCCCGAGTGTGTACTACAAAAATTGCGGCGGGAGATTTGGCGAAACAACCAGATAGGACAATAAAATATATGAGCACTCAAATCATTTATTGTATTGTTACTTTATAGATGTATATTATATCCAGAAAACTGTGCGTATCAGTATAACTCGTGAATAATATATGAAAACGGATAAATGTTCATTAACGTGGGTTTAATAAATGCATCCTACCATAATTTTCTTGGAACTTGATTGTAAATTTGAGAGTGAAACTTGATTGTAAAAATCCGTAAAAAGATTAAAAACACGCAGGCACAAACATAACAGAAAAAATCCCGAATTAATAATTACAACAATTACAATATTCTGGTCAGCAAGCCATCTAAGCGGAAATGAATGGGTTACGGAATAAGAAAAGTCTTCTGATGCTCAGTTCGTCTTCTTCTGGCTCATTTCAATGTTCTTTCGTGACTTCACCCGTCCATGTTCTTCCGTGACATCACCCGTCCATGTTCTTCCG